CCCGGAGGGGCCTGGCTTCAGATCGCTGCTCTATGGGACGCCACACAGACACATTCCTGCTTTTTTACATCAATCCGGACGCCTGAATGTGGAGCTCCGACTCTCTAACAGGCCTCCTGCAGCATCCCTGAGAACACCAGGACTCTTTAGAGCTCAGGACTCGTTCTAACTCAGATATTCTGAAATTATAGCAGCACTTTTTCTCCAATATATTTGATTGAATTTTCTCTTTTTTAACAGCAAACCTTCAGACCTGTATAACCTGTACTTTTACACACTTACTGCATTCATTTAGTTCCAACAATGTACAAAACCCTTTAGATTAAGACAGAGAAAAATAACAAGGTGATATATGAATGGAAACTGTGGTCAAGAAAGCCATTAAACCTGTAATGCCAAATGTATCATATTTAATACATACGGTTTCTGAAATGTTTTGCACCTTTTGCATAATTTAATGGTAAAAACTTTGCTCAAAATCCTATTGTACACAATCAGATACACCTGATAACAGGGGGCAGAAGACTACACAAAAAATCATCTTGACTTATCACATAGTGATCAATTATTAATATTAAAAATGTATTTTTGTTTTTTCTTTTTACATATTTTGTTAAAAGGCCAAATATAGACTTAAAACAAAAAAAAAGTAAGTTTCTGTTTTGTTTTATTCTTGGACCAGGCTTTAAAGGGTTACATTTTTTCTTCAGACAACAAATTTAACATAATAACATGTACTTTTACACACTTACCCCATTCAAACCTGCATTCATTCAGTTCCAAGTTTTCTATTTATTTATCTCTTTTTTAATTGTCTATATACTTTTTTATTCACATGGTTGTGCACGGTAAGAAGGAAGGATGTGGGTTATTACTGATCTGTAACATAATCTTGTAGGATTGGGAAGGGAATGAGGGGTTGTGGTTTTTGTAAAAAGAAAAAAAAAACTAACTTTTCATTTTTTGTACTTGACCTTGTCACGTGAAAAAAAACATGAATATTAAAATAAATTAAATTAAATGTGATGAGATTTGTGTGTGATCCCCCTTAAAACTGTGGGATGTGTGTCACCCTGATCACGCTGGTGGTAATTTAATTAGAGACTGTCTGTGATTAACAGCTGAGGACTTTAAATTTAGCTCCCAGAGGACGCGTTTGTCATGGAAATCTCTGTAAAATCACATCAGAGCATCACCAGTCAACGTGAACATCACCGCTTAATATTCATGCTTTTTGATTGGACAGACATGGATCCCTGATTGTCTTTCCTTTTCTGTCCAGGATCTGTGTTCAGATTTCCATCCGGCTGTAAAAGTGGCACACGTGGAGTCTCTGATGTGTCGTTAATCTGATTAAGACGTGACAACAGGGAGGCTGTTCCCCTCTGGAGAGACTCTGTGGTGGGTCTCACGCCATAAAAAAGCCACATCCGCGCACGTTTCCGAGGATCAAGAAGAATCCCAGACGAAAGGGTGGCCAGACTCACTCAGACTGGCTTCGTTTGCCAGTTTGGAGAAGCATTTGTTACAAACTTTTGCTTTCTAGACCAAAAAAAAAGCCCAGATTGGATGGAGACCTAAAGAAGTGATGTGGAAATGTCATAAAGTGAAATTTAATTCACAATCAAGCAAAAACAACACATACAATTAACAAAAACCTTTATAAAATGAGCTAATTTCACTTCTTAGCATCCCCTCTATGGCTACATATGTATATATTTATATAAATGTATCTATTTATATTCTGTGTGGAATTTTGTGTATAGATAGATAGATAGATAGATAGATAGATAGATAGATAGATAGATAGATAGATAGATAGATAGATAGATAGATAGATAGATAGATAGATAGATAGATAGATAGATAGATAGATAGATAGATAGATAGATAGATAGATAGATAGATAG